TCATCCTGGATAGCCTCAAGTAGTCTCACATCATCAGCACAAATCCACGCTCTTAGTCCTGGTCATTTGAATTCCATTCAGGTGGGCTGCACCTAATGACATCTGCTCCTGGCTGAAGGCTACAGTTACCAAAGTAACTGAAGAAGACACACAGACAGGTGTTTGTCACAAGCATCACAGAGTCTCACATGAAATCAAAGCCAGTCTTGGAGGATAAACAGCAACCTTTGCTGATTTCAATTTTGACTCCAAACAGTCGCATAAAAAAACAATGATAACAAATATTTCGTCATATTGTAAGTATACAGAGTACAGCATGATAACAAATATTTCGTCATATTGTACTCTGTAAGTATACAGAGTACAGTATACCTAATGACCCCACAATGCACTTTGTACTCAACTGTATGCTAGCATTTACTTGGTATGTTTTCTGTTTGCACAGGTCTATAATGAACCGAGGTTGCATGTTGTTGGATTGAGTTACAGAGTGGAATTTATTAAATGTAGTTTGCCAAAAAAAATTTAAAAAATGAATACATGTACTGTATAAGAAATCTCATTATGTTATGGCAGTGCAGTAAAATGTGAGCAAATATGTTTGTGGTCCAACTGTTTTTGTTTACTTTTTACATTACATGTTACATTACATGCAATGAATGTAATTTGTTCCAGAGTCAATAAGAGAAGACATCCCATAATCATGATTTCAATATTGACCAGGATAATCATGATTATGATTTTTCCATAATCAGCAGCGCTCTCCAATTTAGGTGCTTTCATTTTGTTTTCCAAGACTCTGTGTTTAAAAAAACAAGCAACTTCAGAAGTAACAGCCGCCCCAGGACAAAAAAAAAACAAACTTCAGAAGTAACAGCCGCCCCAGGGACATAATATCTGTGACAAGAGGAGTGGGCTGAATAAACAAAAGTGGGAAATAATTTATAAGCATCAAAGTGGGCAAAAACAGATCAGATCAGATGGCCACCTATCTAAACAGACGTGGTTACACCTTGACGAGTTACTGCCATCCCTATTGTGTTTCCTGCAGTCTGCGGCTTTGCACATCTCGGAACTGTCACATCAAAAGCATACCAGTCAGAAAGAATCATTCGTCTTCCAGGAACCTTTTCTGTTCCCCTGCTTTTTTCATTCTCTTAATCAGTAGGAACAGCCATTAAGCAGGAGCGTGATTATCCATGGCTATCAAACAGAAACCTGTAAAAACTATTCTTCCGTTTTGTCCACATGTTTAGAAGGTGCTTCAGGGTGAAACTAATCACCGAAGAACAACTAGAGGAGAGGAAAGAACAGGAGAGGAGAGGAGAGGAAAGACTTTTGGAAAACTCGAGACAAGCCCAGGCAGTTTCAGTTTTGGTTAAAACCACTCGATGTAGTGAATTAGAAGTCAAAACCAACATGGAGATTAAGTGGGACCACCTTGTGGTTGACATAATGTTCTGCTCCTGAATCTTAATCTTACCTCTACCGTCTAATCCAGC